CAGCCTTCAGGAAACTTGTGAATGAAGTTACCTTTCAGCCTTCAGGAAACTTGTGAATGAAGTTACCTTTCAGCCTTCAGGAAACTTGTGAATGAAGTTACCTTTCAGCCTTCAGGAAACTTGTGAATGAAGTTACCTTTCAGCCTTCAGGAAACTTGTGAATGAAGTTACCTTTCAGCCTTCAGGAAACTTGTGAATGAAGTTACCTTTCAGCCTTCAGGAAACTTGTGAATGAAGTTACCTTTCAGCCTTCAGGAAACTTGTGAATGAAGTTACCTTTCAGCCTTCAGGAAACTTGTGAATGAAGTTACCTTTCAGCCTTCAGGAAACTTGTGAATGAAGTTACCTTTCAGCCTTCAGGAAACTTGTGAATGAAGTTACCTTTCAGCCTTCAGGAAACTTGTGAATGAAGTTACCTTTCAGCCTTCAGGAAACTTGACTTGTGCAATGAAGTTACCTTTCAGCCTTCAGGAAACTTGTGAATGAAGTTACCTTTCAGCCTTCAGGAAACTTGTGCAATGAAGTTACCTTTCAGCCTTCAGGAAACTTGTGAATGAAGTTACCTTTCAGCCTTCAGGAAACTTGTGAATGAAGTTACCTTTCAGCCTTCAGGAAACTTGTGAATGAAGTTACCTTTCAGCCTTCAGGAAACTTGTGAATGAAGTTACCTTTCAGCCTTCAGGAAACTTGTGAATGAAGTTACCTTTCAGCCTTCAGGAAACTTGTGCAATGAAGTTACCTTTCAGCCTTCAGGAAACTTGTGCAATGAAGTTACCTTTCAGCCTTCAGGAAACTTGTGAATGAAGTTACCTTTCAGCCTTCAGGAAACTTGTGAATGAAGTTACCTTTCAGCCTTCAGGAAACTTGTGCAATGAAGTTACCTTTCAGCCTTCAGGAAACTTGTGAATGAAGTTACCTTTCAGCCTTCAGGAAACTTGTGAATGAAGTTACCTTTCAGCCTTCAGGAAACTTGTGAATGAAGTTACCTTTCAGCCTTCAGGAAACTTGTGAATGAAGTTACCTTTCAGCCTTCAGGAAACTTGTGAATGAAGTTACCTTTCAGCCTTCAGGAAACTTGTGCAATGAAGTTACCTTTCAGCCTTCAGGAAACTTGTGAATGAAGTTACCTTTCAGCCTTCAGGAAACTTGTGAATGAAGTTACCTTTCAGCCTTCAGGAAACTTGTGCAATGAAGTTACCTTTCAGCCTTCAGGAAACTTGTGAATGAAGTTACCTTTCAGCCTTCAGGAAACTTGTGAATGAAGTTACCTTTCAGCCTTCAGGAAACTTGTGAATGAAGTTACCTTTCAGCCTTCAGGAAACTTGTGCAATGAAGTTACCTTTCAGCCTTCAGGAAACTTGTGAATGAAGTTACCTTTCAGCCTTCAGGAAACTTGTGAATGAAGTTACCTTTCAGCCTTCAGGAAACTTGTGAATGAAGTTACCTTTCAGCCTTCAGGAAACTTGTGAATGAAGTTACCTTTCAGCCTTCAGGAAACTTGTGAATGAAGTTACCTTTCAGCCTTCAGGAAACTTGTGAATGAAGTTACCTTTCAGCCTTCAGGAAACTTGTGAATGAAGTTACCTTTCAGCCTTCAGGAAACTTGTGAATGAAGTTACCTTTCAGCCTTCAGGAAACTTGTGAATGAAGTTACCTTTCAGCCTTCAGGAAACTTGTGCAATGAAGTTACCTTTCAGCCTTCAGGAAACTTGTGAATGAAGTTACCTTTCAGCCTTCAGGAAACTTGTGAATGAAGTTACCTTTCAGCCTTCAGGAAACTTGTGAATGAAGTTACCTTTCAGCCTTCAGGAAACTTGTGAATGAAGTTACCTTTCAGCCTTCAGGAAACTTGTGAATGAAGTTACCTTTCAGCCTTCAGGAAACTTGTGAATGAAGTTACCTTTCAGCCTTCAGGAAACTTGTGAATGAAGTTACCTTTCAGCCTTCAGGAAACTTGTGAATGAAGTTACCTTTCAGCCTTCAGGAAACTTGTGAATGAAGTTACCTTTCAGCCTTCAGGAAACTTGTGAATGAAGTTACCTTTCAGCCTTCAGGAAACTTGTGAATGAAGTTACCTTTCAGCCTTCAGGAAACTTGTGAATGAAGTTACCTTTCAGCCTTCAGGAAACTTGTGAATGAAGTTACCTTTCAGCCTTCAGGAAACTTGTGCAATGAAGTTACCTTTCAGCCTTCAGGAAACTTGTGAATGAAGTTACCTTTCAGCCTTCAGGAAACTTGTGAATGAAGTTACCTTTCAGCCTTCAGGAAACTTGTGAATGAAGTTACCTTTCAGCCTTCAGGAAACTTGTGAATGAAGTTACCTTTCAGCCTTCAGGAAACTTGTGAATGAAGTTACCTTTCAGCCTTCAGGAAACTTGTGAATGAAGTTACCTTTCAGCCTTCAGGAAACTTGTGCAATGAAGTTACCTTTCAGCCTTCAGGAAACTTGTGCAATGAAGTTACCTTTCAGCCTTCAGGAAACTTGTGCAATGAAGTTACCTTTCAGCCTTCAGGAAACTTGTGAATGAAGTTACCTTTCAGCCTTCAGGAAACTTGTGAATGAAGTTACCTTTCAGCCTTCAGGAAACTTGTGAATGAAGTTACCTTTCAGCCTTCAGGAAACTTGTGAATGAAGTTACCTTTCAGCCTTCAGGAAACTTGTGAATGAAGTTACCTTTCAGCCTTCAGGAAACTTGTGAATGAAGTTACCTTTCAGCCTTCAGGAAACTTGTGAATGAAGTTACCTTTCAGCCTTCAGGAAACTTGTGAATGAAGTTACCTTTCAGCCTTCAGGAAACTTGTGCAATGAAGTTACCTTTCAGCCTTCAGGAAACTTGTGAATGAAGTTACCTTTCAGCCTTCAGGAAACTTGTGAATGAAGTTACCTTTCAGCCTTCAGGAAACTTGTGAATGAAGTTACCTTTCAGCCTTCAGGAAACTTGTGAATGAAGTTACCTTTCAGCCTTCAGGAAACTTGTGAATGAAGTTACCTTTCAGCCTTCAGGAAACTTGTGAATGAAGTTACCTTTCAGCCTTCAGGAAACTTGTGCAATGAAGTTACCTTTCAGCCTTCAGGAAACTTGTGAATGAAGTTACCTTTCAGCCTTCAGGAAACTTGTGAATGAAGTTACCTTTCAGCCTTCAGGAAACTTGTGAATGAAGTTACCTTTCAGCCTTCAGGAAACTTGTGAATGAAGTTACCTTTCAGCCTTCAGGAAACTTGTGAATGAAGTTACCTTTCAGCCTTCAGGAAACTTGTGAATGAAGTTACCTTTCAGCCTTCAGGAAACTTGTGCAATGAAGTTACCTTTCAGCCTTCAGGAAACTTGTGAATGAAGTTACCTTTCAGCCTTCAGGAAACTTGTGAATGAAGTTACCTTTCAGCCTTCAGGAAACTTGTGCAATGAAGTTACCTTTCAGCCTTCAGGAAACTTGTGAATGAAGTTACCTTTCAGCCTTCAGGAAACTTGTGAATGAAGTTACCTTTCAGCCTTCAGGAAACTTGTGAATGAAGTTACCTTTCAGCCTTCAGGAAACTTGTGAATGAAGTTACCTTTCAGCCTTCAGGAAACTTGTGAATGAAGTTACCTTTCAGCCTTCAGGAAACTTGTGAATGAAGTTACCTTTCAGCCTTCAGGAAACTTGTGAATGAAGTTACCTTTCAGCCTTCAGGAAACTTGTGAATGAAGTTACCTTTCAGCCTTCAGGAAACTTGTGAATGAAGTTACCTTTCAGCCTTCAGGAAACTTGTGAATGAAGTTACCTTTCAGCCTTCAGGAAACTTGTGAATGAAGTTACCTTTCAGCCTTCAGGAAACTTGTGAATGAAGTTACCTTTCAGCCTTCAGGAAACTTGTGAATGAAGTTACCTTTCAGCCTTCAGGAAACTTGTGAATGAAGTTACCTTTCAGCCTTCAGGAAACTTGTGAATGAAGTTACCTTTCAGCCTTCAGGAAACTTGTGCAATGAAGTTACCTTTCAGCCTTCAGGAAACTTGTGAATGAAGTTACCTTTCAGCCTTCAGGAAACTTGTGAATGAAGTTACCTTTCAGCCTTCAGGAAACTTGTGAATGAAGTTACCTTTCAGCCTTCAGGAAACTTGTGAATGAAGTTACCTTTCAGCCTTCAGGAAACTTGTGAATGAAGTTACCTTTCAGCCTTCAGGAAACTTGTGAATGAAGTTACCTTTCAGCCTTCAGGAAACTTGTGAATGAAGTTGTCCAATTTTCAAGTATTTCTGCGGAAAAGATGTGACATTGGACAAGCAGGTTCAAGGGAGGACTGAACAGCCGAAATACTAGTATTATGATGCCAGATTCATCGGAATGTCGACTAAGTTACCTTTCAGCCTTCAGGAAACTGTTTAGTTGACTGCCATGCTGGAGGCACACGCCGCATGCTTCTGCCCTAGCCGGCTCTATCACTGATGTCATGCATGCCTGGAAAATGGGCAATACCAACAAACAAAACTTAACAGGAGCTTGCCCTAGGCTATAGCTATAGAAGTGCGTCGATATGTACCCTCGCTATGCCAGTCTCAGTTGTGTGTGCGACTGTGCGTGTGTGTGACGGGAATGGTCTTAGAGACTGCTTCTCCCATTCCCGTTGGCCTTCCAATCACATAATTACTTACACTCTTTCTGCATGCTCTGTATGGTGATCCCCGAATTACTTATTATTATTATTCATGCATAATGGACAACTATTACTCTGCACACAATCCACCTTTAGTAACACACTTTATTTCTACACATCCTTATTCTACCTCCCACACCGTACTCTGAACACAGCAGGGAGTCGAATATGACTCCCTGCATTTATTCTGAAATATGAAGCTGGCCACGACGAGGGTTTCCCCTCAGTTCTTGGTTAGTCCAGAAGGAGTGAGTTTGACTTGTAGTGTCGACTGCAGCTGAGTTTGACGTGTTGTGTCGACTGCAGCTGCTAGTATGCTTACTGTTACAGTGTGCTTTCTTTGTTGTATCATGGGTACTCTCTCAGTCTAACGTGGTTGATCCGTGTGCTGCCCAATCCCAACTCCATCGCGTACACAACCTACGAGGCGCCAATGCATATTGACCTGCCATACATGGATACTCCACCGGGGGTGAGTCACGGCTGGTTCAGTGGTAACTCGTACAGCATTGTACCGGCATGTGCGCAGCATTCTTACTGAATGTTACATCTGTATCCATGCTGTCAATTTCGCCTTCAGTTCAGGTTTAATCAGTTCTTTGTAAGGTGCAAACATGCAAGGAGGACGCATGCAACAGTCAACCGCTAGCCACTAACTTGCGGCTAGTGTTGCGGTCTCTCTCTATCTATCTATCTATCTATCTATCTCTGGCTCTCCGTCTCTCTCTCTCTATCAATCTCTGTCTCTCTGTCTCTCTCTCTCTGTCTCTTTCTCTCACTCTCACTCTCTCTCTCTCTCTCTCTCCGAGTCTCTCTCTTTCTCTTTCTCTTCTCTCTCTCTCTCTCTCTCTCTCTCTCTCTCTCTCTCTCTCTCTCTCTCTCTCTCTCTCTCTCTCTCTCTCTCTCTCTCATGTGACTTGTGTTTCCTGTGCACGTGTCTGTGTACTGGCATTATATTTTAATACCTTTGTAATCTCGATGCAGATTCTCATGCTGCACTGCCTGAGCCAGGCACCAACCGGAGGATTGACATACTGTACGGATGGGTTCCACATAGCTGAGCAGCTGCGGCGTGACGATCCGGACACGTTCCGTGTGCTGTGCGATGTGCCCGTGACTTGGTCCACGCACGGCCATGACAGCATATCTAACATGGATTACTACTTCCAGGCTGATGCCCCTGTGATAGAGTGAGTAGGCGAGTGGCTACTGTGGCTGGTGTCTATGTCATGTACGAGTACAGTCATGGTATGGTGGTAGTAAGGTCACTGTTTCTGAGCACGGTGTCCTCCACCTTGTTTCATGCTGTCAAACCAACAACATGAGTACAGTCATGTACAATGTTGCAACTGAATGGAAATCCAACATATTCATGTGCAGGGCCGTGCTTTGCTTCAGTGAACAGCCCTGGAAGAGTTCGGGAGACGGTTCAGGAGATTCCTGTGAGAATATCGATTTATTCGAGAGCTGCACACAAATGCACTCATAGCTGTTTCTTAATCTACATGCATGGCATCATGTAGGTGACTGGGGTCAAACGGCATTGTGACTATGGTTACTACACTACACTACACTGCAGTGCCTCATCGGTAACTTGACAAGTGCCCAAGTGCAAGACATTTTGAATGGCATAGTACGCACAATACACTCAGGGCACTCGGACACTCAGGGCCTTGGGTGCACCTGATCAGATAATCATTGGCTAGATGCAATGGGACGTAACCTTTGACAAGCATATTAAATTCAAATGGCTGCCCCTTCCTTTTTTTATTGTTGTGGTGGTATGTGTTCTTAGGCTGGATAGAGATGGTGATGTTAAGACAATGCGACTCAACCAGGTACGGAGTAGCTTTCTGAAGCTGGATGCGGACAAGGTGGCGAGGTTCTACGCTGCCCTGCACACGCTATCGCGCATGTCCTGCGATGCCCGCTATCGCGCCGCCGTGCGTCTTGAGCCGGGTGAGATGATCCTGATCGACAACCATCGTATGCTGCATGGCCGGTCAGAGCTGGACGCAGCTGGCGCAGCCGTGCGCTGCCTCAGCGGCGGTTACATGGACTGGGACTTGGTGGTGTCGCGCATGCGAAGCCAGCACAAAGCACTGGCCAAATAAACCGCCCCGGCCCTGCTATGCTCCTTACCACTGTATGCTCTCCAGACTGCAGCACGAGAACTGCCTTTCTGACACGGGACTATACATGTAGCTGGCACTACTACTGGGACAATCAATAATTATTTATAGATGTGCTTGATTCATGTTCATGTGATCTGATGCAGTGACGCAGCTCATATTGTTCCGTTAGAAATCCATGTATACCTTGCTCCCTACTCTTATCAGTTGTGGACTCCAAGCAACCAAACCAAGCTGATAATGTGGATGGACTGCAGAGGTTTAGCCGCAATACACTGGGCAAGAGTCATGGAGAAAAGTAATGCTCTTTTATGTTGTGAATGCAACCCTCATTCACTTTTAAAACTTATATTTCCTTGCCAGAAAGGTTTTAGAAACATTTCAATTTCAAGGAAACAAATCACCACTCTCACTTGACTTGCTTCAAAATGGTACCTGTTCTTTTTTAACACACACACACACTTCAAGGTTTTCAAGCACACCACACACACAGAAATTCATAACACGAATATTCAGCTCCACTCACGGTTCATACTCATTTTCCAACCAAACATGCACATATACACTGTACATCTAGCACAATATAGCAGCAGATAGGCTTGCGGCCAAAATGCTTCAGAGGTGCATCATCAATATTGCTGGCTAGTATTTTAAACTACAAAAGGTACCAGCTACCTTGTAGACTACGTGCAAGAGAATACAGCCCTACCAAGTGCAGAAGCTGCTTGGAACACACTTGACTTGTGTAGCGGTGCTATGCAGGGGACAGTTTTGGGCAAGATGAACAGGACCAGCTACATTGCTCAACATTAGCTCACTTTTCATTGCTGAAATGCGTACATGCACATACCGCATAAGTGAAGCAAAACACAACGGCTTGACCTAGCATGTCTTTCAGAGCACAATGTGATTCCTATGCTACATTGAACTGACTGGCAACATATCCAAACATTCGCCGTTGACTTGCCTGGTCGATACTTGTGTGTGGTTCAAGACAGTGAGTGTCCACAGACTGCGGGCATTGGGCATGTTCCAATACAGCTATCCAGACGGTAACTTTCCTTCACATAGAGACGTGGGGCCGTATCCACACCAGGGTTCTAGCCAGGTTAAAATAGTAGGGGGGGGGGGGAGGGGCGGGGCATGGGAAACAGTTACCCCGTATCCCATTTTTCCACTTTCCAATATTGTCTTAGCACGCTAAATGCAACGTATGTGGCAAATCCCCCACTTCGTCCCAGACAAATGTGCCTTTATGAACCATGTAATAGTGACTTTCGATTGTATTTTTGTTGAATTGCATGAAAAACACGAAAATCGGAAAGTGAGTAGGGGGGGGGGGGGGCGCATACAGAGCAGGGTAGGTGGGGGGGGGGGGGCTGCTCCCCCCCCCCCCAGGCTTTGGCTAGAACCCTGCACACCCTAAACCTGACTGAAGCTGGCTGAAGCTCGGCAATGACCAGCTATTGATTTGTTGTGTGGATGTAGGAGAAAGAGCAAGAGAGAATTTGTCCTCCACCAGGTGGAAATCACACAGCAGCAGCGCCAGCAACACAGAACTACATGATACCTACCAGGATGTACTCTCTCCTTACTTGCACTACTGCGGCTCAATGAGATGCCCTTGGCACAGACAACATAAAAGTGGCACAGAGTGCATTGAAGATGGCAAAGACGTGTATAGGCAGGTTCATACAGCCCACTGATCTTGTGCTGGCGGACATTTTGTCAAACATAAGACATGTACTCCCGTTCGAATTTTCTTTAGCATCTGGCCCAGAACTGTGAGCAGTCACTTACACCAAGAGTACTTGTACATAAACCTTTATGTACTCTTGCGTACACTAGTTACGGCCAGAGCAGTTTCACTCTTGCGGTGCCATACTTATTTCAAGTTATTTGCTATCGCTTTTCCGGCTTCTTCCAAAAGCGGATTGGTATTATGTGCTGCGCAGTGCATTGTTTACTGAAAGAACCTTTTTGATTATTCATTTCTGTACTGGGCGGACAAACTATGGTGCTGCTTAATGAAATCTGGCTTGTGTGTTTGTTAGTGTTGGCCGGGCATTGTGCAAGTGTACATAGTAGCACAGGTAACAGTGGGCTGTGCACTGGTGCAGGGTACCAGCTAACCCATCATCAGGCCAGATTTCATAGAACATGATTGTACATGTAGTAACTTAGCTCAATGCACCCTGCAACTTTGGAGGGTGTTTTAGTTAGGGCTGAAACGATCATTCATTAACTTCTAAACGATCATTAACGATCGATATAATTATTATGATCGATATATTGGTTTTATTGATTCTTGTCGGCTCTACTCGTGTACCTCGACCACCAGTTTATGAAAAAAGTCCATGATGCCTTTGCTATGCTAGAATTTTGTGGCACCAAACTGCTGACATCTGTAGACATCTGGCTGGTTTTATCAACATGAACTAATTTCATGTTGTTTCCAGAGCGAAGAATCTTGTTATCACCCTTTGGAAACTGCGCCCATATCCAAAAAAATGAACCGAAAAGACTCTCTCGCAATCTTTTTCAAAGCCACAAATCAATTTTACTGCGCTTGAAAGTGCATGATAGCACTCGTATTTACTATCGAATGCAGTGCAGGGGCTAGAACACTGTCACTGATATGCATGCATACAACAATCGGTAGCACTCGTTTGGAACACTAACGATTATCGATTGCACTCTTAACGATCGATATCTGAGTTACCGGTATAACAAATTGTTTCAGCCCAAGTTTTAGTAAATCTTTCTGTCTGTCAAATCCTAGGCACAGTATAGATGCTATAAAGGACTGTCCCTCATGTTCGATACCTTCCGGGTCACATTTCCAAAGGTAACAAAACAGAATCTGTTCAGCTTCAAAACATTAACGAACTAAACAACAGCAGGGCAAGTGCAAGAGCCGGGTTTCTATGATCATCAATTAATTACTTATCAAGGATGGCCGTTGCAGCGTTTGACCAACATTACGGCCTCTGATTTCATAGAATGCACCATAAGAAGTTCACCAGCCACTCACTGTAGTCTATAGTACCGCAAGAGTTCTTTCGCCCTCCCTGCTGCACAAGCCCTAACCTTCTGGTCACCTCATATAAAGTGAATTAACTCAACAAAAACGTTTTTTTTGGAAGGATCAACATCTATCCCTAAGATGATGCCCAATGGGCGAAATACTGGTAGTACTTTATTCTAATAGAGGTCGGAGGCGGAGAATATTTTCAAACGAAAGTAAGTATTAGTTGGTATGTATCCATGCAAACACACACATCCAGTCAAATAAGGCACTTGTCATAAAGTATCCGAACGTTTTCGTTCCCTTCTCATCAAGTTTCCAACTTGAGCCATTCCCTGTACGGTCCTTAACGAGAAGGGAACGAAAACGTTCGCAGACTTGATGACAAGTGCCTTATTTGACTGGATGCGTGTGTTTGCGTGGATACATGCGAACTAATACTTACCTTCGTTTGAAAGTACCGGTGCTTTACTAATTTATTCTTTTTGTGCAGCTGAGACTGTCTGTTCGGGGAATGGAGCCTGTGTTTGCAAGTACTGTAGCCATCTATAATGCAATCATTCACTTGTGAGCATATTCCGAAAAAAATGTGCCTGGAAGTGACACCCTTCACATAGGAGTATGACAAAAAGACATGATCACAGCTGCACTCAGTGGTTAGAGCATCGCTGGCCTCAAGCGAAGGTCCCTGGTTCGAGTCCTGGTGGTGACAGTCAATTTTCCTTCAGACTTTTTTTCCCTTTTTCATTCCCCCAATTTACGAACAAAGAGAAATTTTAATGATTTTTGTGATTTTTGTACAGCTATAGCAGGAACATCACCAAATTTGGGACAAAGCACCTTCTGCTGGTGCTGATTATTATTATTATTGCTGGTGCTAAGTAAAGAATTGTGTAAAAATTGAGGGACCCGGCCCCGGCATTGGATACTGGGGCCCTCATAAAGTCTTCTATTTTCGGAAAATTGAGCCTAGTATTGGGGCTGCAGTAAAAAAATTGCACGGGTTCACGTACAGGGCAGCGGGTCAAGAAGCGCCTGTCCGCTTCCGTGGGACGCCACCACCCCATGATCAGGCAAAGGATGCGGCTCCTAAAAGGCGGAGGAGGATAGATCCGACCCACCAACCAGAGGCCAAAGGCCGAAATCCCATTCGCCACATCCATGTTTTCCTCGTGCCAGGCCACACTCCTCAATTCACTGGCGGTCGCAGCATGGCTGGAAAAATTCTTCCACTTCCAAGCAGGACTTGAACCTAGTACCTCTCGTTTCTCAATCATGGTCTTAGACCAACTGACTGGGGTTGTAGTCAGCTAATCCGTAAACCCAGCAGAGCAGAGCAGGGAATGTAATGTGCATTCTCCATTGTATTGTAGCATCAGCTTGTCCAATGCCTAAGGAAACTTGCACTTGTCAAGGGACACGGTTCCCTCCATTAGACAAATTGCTGACGTTAGGTGCACCGGTGATTGTTTAGCTGACTGGTAGGTAACACGGGGGCACTACCTTTGTCGTCTAAGTCATGCAATACACTTAAACCAAGTCACACTCTGTCATGTGTGCTCTCCAGTCGATCCATGTTTTTTACAAGTAAAATGTACGTGAGGATAGACTCGGATGGAGAGCCAATGATTGATTTATAGTAAAGAAAAGCTGATTGTCAAGTAACTGGTGGTGTTAGTGGACATTATAGAGTAACTTGTAGTTCCTTGGTCCTTTCTTTCCTATAAAATGCATGTGCCTCGAATTAAGTACAGTGTGGGACCATTGAAAAGTACACAGGCATTTCCTCTACTTCTGGATCTCTAGAAAACACCAGCAAGGTGAAAACATGGCAGCTATAATTATTGTGCGTGGATTTCCTTTAAAATACATTGGACTTTTTAAGGAGAAATTGCTACAGTTGCAGATTTGGCGGCCATTATAAATATTCATCCCCTATATTTAAAAACCAAGAGAGTGGTGTGGTGCAGTGGAGTTACTGTTAAAATATAGACTTCTTTAAAAAAAAATCTAATGATTCATTGCTGTCTACAGCATTGGGTAATAATGCATTGCAGCAAAACACCCACCCACATGCATGACAGATGATACATCCAGTGCCCAGAACCATTAGGAGTTCAAGCAAATGTTTTACCAGTCAAGCTATCTGGACGCACACGTCGCATTAAACTTGATACCCCCCTCTCACACCCACCCACCCACCCACATGCTCAAACACACGTGCACACTGACATGCAAAGGACATACACATAGCATAAATGCATGAGGCCTTTCAGCAAGACCTTTCTTCCTGACCATTTCCTTGTTCCTGAAGATGGTCATAGACCGAAACACTGCACGTCAAAGATATGTTGTTTCGAGTAACTTTTCGTTTTAAGTAGCATGCCAATTCGGTATGTGCCTCTACTCTAAAACTAGTACTACCCAACTAGGCGTTGGAAAGAGCTGATTCAAGCATGCTGCTGCCGGTACAGATGTAGAGTGCACATTATGTTCACCTACTTCGTTGAAGTGCAATAATCAGCACCACGCATCCTACGACTCGAGTTACAATGTCCATGCCGCGGTGTGACTTCGACGGCAGCTGCTCCATTCCATTTCAAACGAATATTAGAGCATGTTCGACCGGTCCTGTTTGAGCATGTTTGTATGTATGTAACTTGAGTCAACACTTCAAGTTCTTATATAAGTAACCATTACTCGGCTAGAGTGTATGCAGCAGAGCTAGCTACAAATTACTTGCTTCTTTCCTGCAGCAAGTCTGCTGCTGCTGCTGGGCAATCTGGTGGCGATAAGACAGAGTGGTGTACATGACTGGTTCGCTCCTGCAGGCTAAAGCGCACAAGCGGTAAGTTACTACATGTAGGCTAGTTTGCAGTACACCACTGATCATACGTGGGAGCGATTGGACCTTCTCATGGCT